TCTTTCATAAGAGCATTCTGCAACTTACAGAGTAGAAGAAATCTGGAATACATATAACTAATAAAGATCTTATATCCAAAATATAAAAGGAATTCTCAACAATTAAAAACATGTAATACAACAGAATAGGCAAGTCTGGAACACACAGTTTATTAAACAAATTATACATTCATCATTAAATGTGAAAAAGTTCGAAACTTTATTAGTCATTAGGGAAATGCACACTGAAACCACAATAAGATACCAGCACACACCTCCAGAATGGCTAAGATGAAAAAAACAAAAAAACACCATATAAAAAACAACAACCATTTTTAAATTATCTACTAAAGAGGAACATATGCAAATTCTGTGGCCCAGCAATTCCCAGGCATCAACTGAAGAGAAATGGGTAGGTACATGCTTATCAAAAAATAGGATTAAGAATAGTAATAGCACTTAAGCCACAATAGCTCAAAATTGGAAATCACTCAAATGTTTATCAACAGTAGAATGGATAAATTATGGTATATTCATACAATGAAATACTATATAGCAATAACAATGAACTATATGTGCAGTAAATAATATGGTTTAATCTCAAAAATATACTGTAAGTAAAAGAAGCTAAACATAAAAAGAGTACTGCTATAGATTCCATTTATACATAGCTCAAAAACAGACAAAAACTAACCGATGGTAGTAGAAATCAGGGCAGGAATGACCTTTGAGAGGTGGAGATTGGGAGGTAGTGAGTAGAAAGGGAACAAAGGAGGCTGACGGGATACTATCAATTTTCTATTTATTGATTTGGGTGCTGATTATACAAGTTCATGAACACTGAATCATATGCTCTTCTGAATGTATACTACACTTTAGCAAAAAAATTTTTTTAAAGATTATTCTGACTTTCAAGTGGAGAATGAATTAGGAGATAAGATTAACCTCAAGGCATGAGGTCAGGTTATTTTGGTAAAATGTATTTGAAGGCAATAAACAAATATCTTAGTAACCAAAATATTAGTAGTCATGTAGAAAAATAGATGGTTCTGAAAGCTGTTCAGTAGGTAGAAATGTCAGAACTCTATAAATGTCTAGGTTGAGGGGATGGAGTATCAAATAATGATTCCCAGGCTTTGGGGGACCTAGTAGGAAAGTGGTACTATTAAGATAAGGAACTCAGATGGAGATATCCAACTGATAGATCCTTAACTGAGAGCTATAGATATTAGAGTCATTAATACATAAAATGCTAATAATGCCCTAAAAGCATGTTTCATCTGGAGGGAAAAATTAAAATTGAGAAAAGGTGGCCAGGCAAAGGGAAAACATCTGACAGCAGAAGCTGCTTCTAGAAACAAGTGGTTCTCAAAGAGAAGTCTGAGAACTTCTGGGAACCCCAAGATAATTCTGGGAGTTTCAGAAGATAAAAAATATTTCTATAGCACTATATTATTTGACTGTTTTTTTTTCTTTCCTGAGTATACAGTGGAGTTTCCCAAAAGTCACATAATATGTAATATCCTTAACAGACTGAATGCAGAAGCAGATAGGAAAATCCATGTCTTCTATTAAGCCAGATGTTAAAAAGACTTACAAAAACATGTAAAACACTGCTCCTCCGTGTAACTTTTATTTTTAATTTGCAAAACATATCTATTTTTTGTAAAGGTATATCCTAGGTTTATTACTATCATTGTTAGCCAAGTTCATAAATAAATATTTTTTAAAAATCTCAGATTCAATTTCTAATATGTTAAGAATTGAAACAGATAATCTACCAGGTCAAAAGTTGTTTGTGGGGGGCGGTGCCTGGATGGTACAGTTAGTTACACATCCAACTCTTGGTTTTGGCTCAGGTCCTGACCTCAGGGTGGCTGAGCCCTTCGTCGGGTTCCACACTCAGCACAGAATGTGCTTAAGACTCCCTCTTCCTCTCCCCCTGCCCTCTATTTGTGCCCACTTTCTCTTCCCCCTTTCTCAAATAAATAAATCTTAAAACAAAAAACAAACAGAAAGAAAGAAAGAAAGAAAGAAAGAAAGAAAGAAAGAAAGAAAGAAAGAAAGAAAGGGAGAAAGAAAAAGAAGCTGTCTGGATCCTTTAAACTAAAAAGTGTCCTAAGACCAGAAAGTTTGAGAAATATTGGTACAGAGCAATTTCTTCTGAGTCTAGCTAAAATTGCTATTCACTTTAGACTGAAAATGTAGAAGGAAAGCCTGTGCAACTAGTTCACAGTCTCATTATCTGGGGATTGAGATGGCTAAATCCATTCATCAATATGCCTTCAAGCCTATTTTTAATATAGAGAGATAAATGTCCAAAACCTTTGAGTTCTAATCAAGAGAAACGATAATAAATAGCCATGTGTATATTTTACATGTAAAACTAAATAAAGGCATCTACTCACCTTTTAAAGGAATTTTGTATATAAAAGGCTCTTGTAGCAAAATCATTTTGGTTTTCTTTTTTTTTTTTTTTTTTTTTTTTAAAGATTTTATTTATTTATTTGACAGACAGAGATCACAAGTAGGCTGAGAGGCAGGCAGAGAGAAAGGCGGAAGCAGGCTTCCCGCAGAGCAGAGAGCCCGACGTAGGGCTCGATCCCAGGACACTGGGATCATGACCTGAGCCGAAGGCAGAGGCTTTAACCCACTGAGCCACCCAGGCGCCCCTGGTTTTCTTTTTTAAAGATAACAGTCTAGACAAAGCCTTGGGAATCAACATTTAAAAGATAGTTAAAATATAAGGAATCTCTGTAGGAAGACTGAAGGGCTTCAAAGGAAGACAGAAAACCTGAAGAGCGATAGAGAGGTAGGAGAAATCCCAGGGGAAAGTGCTTTTGGAAGACAAAGGCTCTCAAATGCTGCAGAGAGATTATAGAAGAGAGACAAGGAAGTCTCCATTTACTTAGCAAAGGGGAGGTTATTAGTAACTGTGAAGAACAGTTCTAGTGTAGACATGGGTCAGAAAACTGAGTTAAGTACTGAGGTGAAAAAGAAAGACAGTAAGGTACAGAACTACTTCAACAATTTAGTTGGAGGGGCGCCTGGGTGGCTCAATTGGTTAAGCGACTGCCTTTGGCTCAGGTCACGATCCCAGGATCCTAGGATCAAGCCCTGTGTCGGGGTCTCTCTGCTCAGCGGGAAGCCTGCTTCTCCCTCTCTGCCCATCGCTCTGCCTACTTGTGCTCTCTCTGTCAAATAAATAAAATCTTAAAAAAAAAAAAAAAAAAAAAAAAAAGAATTTAGTTGTAAAGTGGGGATAAGCAGGGTGATGGCTGAAAAGTCACATGGAAAGAAGAGGAAAAGATATGTTAAAGATACAAAAGAGAATGTATGCTAAATGAACAAGACTGCAGAGGGAGGAGGAACTTGGATCCAGAATATAGGAAAACACAACCTTATACAGAAGGGAGGCTACTTACACAGAAACAAAGAGGAAACAGTAAAGTTCGTGGGGGAAAGAAGACTAATTTGGAAGTATGGTAGCAGGAAGTTGAGGGTGTTAGTGGGTCGTGAGTTGCATCGTTTCTGCCTAGTAAAGAGCAGACAGGAACTATGAGAGGGCTTGAAACAGCTATTACGAAAACGAAGGGAGTACTGTCTTGGGCTTTTCCAAATCTTTTAAATGGAAATAGAGAATTTTTTTTTTTTAAAGATAAGAAGTATCCAGTACATTTCAGTGTTTTTTATACACAAATAACTAAAATGAAAAGAATGCTGAATGTGCTGAGTTAATCCTTTCACACTCAGGAAAAGTTCACTGTCCAACCTTTAGCAGTCAAGTTTTGTAATATTTTATTTCACTATATTAACTACTTAATTAACTATGATGGGAATTTTAGCTGCTTCTACTGCTATTTTATAGGAGTTATTAAATTGGCTTATGAAAGTCCAATAAACTAATAATAGGGAAGTTTCTTATCTATTTTTAGGAGTAAGTTTTAGGTAGACAATACTGTCCCAAGATGGAATGGATTTCCTTAAAAAATACTGATGTTCAAATTACTGGAGAGGCAGTTAGCACACTTTTCACATATGAGAATATAAATCCTCAGACATTGTTCTCAAATGTAAGAGTAAAAGTTGTAGGCTTACAGGCTCTTGGCTCTCACAGATGTCCATTCATTCACTGTAGCTGAAAAGCAGCTACAGAAAATAAGTAACCAAATGGGCATGGGTGTGTTCCAACAAAACTTTATTTGCAAAAACAGGTGGCTAGCCCACAAGCTATTATTTTTTAACTCCTGGTCTAAGTTTTCATTTTACTGCTAAGGAAGGCGCTTAAATTCGTATACTCTTTAGTTTTGTCATCTGTAAGAAGAGTAACAAAGCTACTGAATTAATAATAACATAAATTATATTAAAATACCCAGAACACCCAAAGCATTCAACAAATATGAGTTCTCTTTCTCTATATTTGATAGTGTGAGGCTATAGTGCTCACCTTCAGAAGGTCACAGAAGTGAAGAAGAGGAGAGAACATTCATGGTGTGGAAAACAAATGCTAATTTGTTAAGACAATGATGCAAAGATGATTTTGCTATTTTTCATCAACAAATCCCTGGTCTCAATTATCCAAATTGGATTTCTTCTGAAAGATGAAAGTCTACAAAATTTCTTGGAAACAATTTTCCCAGATCCTTAAGATTTAAAAATTTCATTTTAATATTTAATGTGAAACAAACAAAATTTAGATTTAATTTTAACCTTGGTATTGAGGAACTAAAAAGATTCAGAAAAGTAATACAATTTCATAGGACTGTGATGCTGCCCAATATAGCTCTAGGGGGAAAAAAGGATGGGGAAGTTGAAAAATGCAGTGAACAGCTTTCTCTGCCTTTGTTCCACTACCATATGCCATTTTCTGTATTCTAACTCAGTAAGGTAGAAATAAGGCAGTAAGATGATTCTGAAACAACAAGGAGATCACAGTTGAAAGGTGTTTTGAAGCCCCCAAAAATCTACAAAGTAAATAATCAATAAATTGACGATATAAACAAAGATTTTTTGAAACTCACCATCTCTGTTAGTTTCCCATTCTACATTTTCTTCTTCACTTTCTGGGGTTCTCTCCTTAGTGATTTTTATGTCTTCCTTTTCCCTATGTCTCCCTCTTGAAGATTCTTTCTAAAAAGTATACGCATACATACAGATTACTATATTTTAAAAAATTATGAGATAGTTACTATAATACAGAATATTTCTAGCCTCATCTTTTTTCATCTGTTTTGCAGATAATCACTCACCCACTAAGTAGAAAAACTGACAAGTTCTAGTGTAGCACAGCAATGAGCACTATTTTATTAAAGAACAGCAAGGTGGTAAAAAGAAGGAGTCACTGAGATTTCAAAAGATACAATGTAAATATCTAATAAGAGCTGGATAGTCCACAACATACTAAGTTTCTATTTCTAAGTCTCTATGGGAAAATATTCAAAATGCATAAAATAAACAAAAGGATTGACTATATTAAGTAAGGAATAAAAAATGGCTGCATTATTCATAGTAGACCCTCAAAAAAGAATTACTGATCTAAAACTTGTCATACACTAATGTAACATCATTTCCCTATATGCCTAGATAACTCCAAACTCATTTGATAATTTTATAAATGCTTTTTAAAAAAGATTTTTCCCTATTTTGAGGAAACCAAAATGGCAGCTAAAACAGTTGGCAAATTAGTCCTTATACTGAAGCTAAAAAACAGAAAATCTACATTTTATTCCAAGTTTAACAGTACCCTATACAAAACAGGACAGTAGTAATTCAGCTGATAACATTTAACTAAATATCCTATTACACAAAACCTCCAAACAACATTTTAAGTGGTAAGAAAATAAAGTAACCATTGTTATGGAATTGTTACCTTCCTACCACAGTGTCTCACTTTTATTAACACTTTAAATCCTGCCTATAAAACAAACTAACACAAAAAGGTTAATTGTTAAAAGTTCTTTCTGGGCATTATCAAAAACAAAACAGGGCTGCTTAAAACACAAATTAATTTCTCTATGAAGTCTTCTTTTTAAAGAACTCCAGTACAAATTATAATTGCCCCTAATTTTACATATTTAAGTATAAAGTCATGCTGTTATCACTTGCTTAATGACATATATGGCTGCTGTAAAACAATAAAGGTGGACAAAAGTCATTATAAAAGAGTCTACAAGAGTACAACCAGCCATGGAAAAATGGTAAGAGGTCAAGAGAGAGAGAGAGAGAGAAAGAGAAAGAGAGAGAAAGGAAGGAAGGGTTAATCCACTTTATACATAAATCAAAAGGAAAAAAAGGAACATGATCTACTTCTATTCTTAAGTTATATTCTAAAAAGTATCAGTGATGAACTATTCTATATCCCATTCAACCTTTTTTTTTTTTTTTTTTTTTGCTCCACACCCAGTGTGGAGCCCAATGTGGGGCTTGAACTCAGGACCCTGAGATCAAGATCAGAGCTGAAATCAAGAGTTGGACACTTAACTGACTACACTACCCAGATGCACCCCCATGCAACTTTTGAACATTCTGGGGATTAAACTCACTATAAATATAAATCAGTACAAGTTATATCAAAAATTTATAGAAAGTTATCTCCAAATTACTGAAAAATATATTGTTTCCCAAAGTATCATGTAATATCTGAATACTAACTTAGCTAAAAAAAAAAAGGGTTTCAGAGCCATAGTGCTGATACTGCAAAATAAATAACCTGCAAGTGTGTAAGAGAATATTTTAAAGATTTAGAACAAAAAATATAATCATCTTAATAAATTTCATTAATAACTTACATCAATTTAAAAATATTCACCCTATATAATAAAATTATGTAATTTTAAGATGCCCCCCCCTTTTTTTTAAGATTTTGTCAGAGAAAGGAGAGAGCGCACAAGCAGGGGGAGCTGCAGGCAGATGGAGAAGCAGGCTCCCTAGTGAGCAAGAAGCCCACGCAAGACTCCATTCCAGGACCCTGGGATCATGACCTGAGCTGAAGGCAGACGCTTAACTGACTGAGCCACCCAGGTGTCCTTCTTTTTTTTTTTTTTTTAAAAGGCTCTTGTCTTTCAATATGACTTTAATACTGTCCTCAGAAATCATACATGACTTGTTATTAAGTACTAGAGACTGAATATAGGCTTTAATAAAAATGGAATCTCATTCAAGTTAGAAGATACTTTTTTTTAAATATTTTGTCACTATCAAAATATGGGAATTATTTTGATAACAATTATTAAGGTAGCTCAGATCATTTTAAAAAATGTCACATTTCCCCATTTTTTCCAATTCAACAATGTTTAGGCATAATTTGGTTAGGCATGTTATTCCTTTGTCAGTTATTTCTCCCTTTATCATATTCAAGTAAACAGGGTCTGGTATTCCCTATTCCATGTAGCACAGCATGGCCTGCTCTCACCTCTTGAAGAGAACAGCTTGTCATCTTATTTCTTTTAAATGCAAACATATTAATCAGGCTGTTTGATTACTTTATTATGCATTCTAAATTAGCCATCCCAGAAGATGTACATGTTGAAATATCTGTTAATGAACTAAAATATTTCAGCCAGTACTGCTGGGATGAGATATTTTAAGAATTCTGAACTTTTTTGGACTTCAAAGTATATTAAGTAACACCACCAGTAGGGTCTGGAGAAACATCCTGTGATCAAACATATGAATATTTTTGCAGCACAACATGAATTTGCCAATTGTATAAAGACTATAATTAGCCTCATGTCAATTAAAATCAGGTTTTGCTATCAAATAAATCTATACCTAACTTAGGAAACATGTTTGGTTTTAAAAATTTCTTAGATTTCAGAAATGTAATAAATGATTGTGGACTTTTATTTTCATTTTATATTACATTCACACTTATTCCTTAAACATTATATGTATGGACAGATGATATTCATTATGAATTTTGTTTTTAGATAGTAAGCAGGCATTACCAAAAAGAAGTACTTTAAAAAAGAAGTACTGAGGTTAAGTGTTGAAAACCAGTATTATAACAACTGGATTAGCAACCAGAATAATTAAATGCTAGGGGTCTTTGTAAATAATATAATTCAACCTCCTCTTGCCCTATGTAGAAAATTTTTTAATACTATATAGTTATGAAAGTCCTATTAGAAGAATTTCAGGAAAAAAATTTACTCTCTACATCTCCGCTGATAGCTCTTCACTGCTGCATCCTTTGTCCCCATTTTCAGATAGCTCTGAGTATTAAAACATTCTTTCTTATACTGATTGCAACTCTTACACCTTTCCAGAATTCTTCCAGATTAGAATCAGTTCTGACATCTAGATCATGTAAAAATAAATCTAATGCTTCTTTCACACGACAGTCCTTTAAATATGTGAACACCACCATTATTAAATCTCTTCAGCATCTTCTCATACCAGGCCAAAGAAAGCTACAGTTCATATCGATCAGATGTTAACATTTCAGGATTTTCACGTTCTTCCTCACTCTGTCATCTTCCCTGGACATACTAATTTACCAATGTACTTCAATAAAATGTGGTAACTAAAATTAATCTAGTCTTGTCAGAGCAGTATACAGCATATGGCTTTTATTTCTCCTGGTGTAGAACTGAAATTATACTTGTATTAATGAAGTCTAAGTTGCTTTGCCGGGTAAGTTTCAGGTGGAGCTTAAGTAAGATACTGCAAGCTTATAAACTGTAAATTTAAATTATAATCTCATAAAACAGAGAAAACTTGGAGCTTAAGTAAGATACTGTAAGCTTATAAACTGTAAATTTAAATTATAATCTCATAAAACAGAGAAAACTTCAGGGCTCGGTGATTTAATAATATACTGAAATCATTAGAGATCAAACTTTCTAGTGTTCTTCCAATCTTACAGCTTTGCTATTCCTAATGTTGACTTCTCATTATTTCTTTTACCATGATAAGGCATATTTCTTTTACCATAATAAGAAGCCATCTAGGTTCTCCCACCATGCCTCTCCCTCAATCACAAAATAAGAATTCTTTCCTTCAGTTTGAGTAGGCCAACTTCAGCCATATGACCAACCAAGGTAATGGTCACAGGAGAAATGATTTAGGTCTGGTTCCTGAATCAACTGAATTAGCAAGAAGAATGGGATTACTTTGACTGAATCAAACTAATCAGGCCCCAGCAGTGAACCAGGGTCAATTCCCCCAAAACACAATGCAGATACAAAAGGAAAAAGTGAGGGAATGGATTATAGAGAGTTCAAAGCAATTTACACTACACTTTTGGTAGTATACCTCACCTCTTCAAAGTATAAGGCCACACTTTGGACAACTTCAAAGGCCATACAAAACAGACTGTCCAACCCAGTAAACATTTTCTCTGTTCACCTTTATTATTCACATTTCAGACCCTCCTTCTAAGGTCATTTGCTATCTTCCTGATACATATCTTTTTAGCTATTCTCTACTTAGTGAAGGTCTCCTAGTACTCAACGCTCTCAATTTTATTTGAAAATATCTGTATTATATCTACATTTTTGAAAAATAATTTCACTGGGTATACAGCTATGGGTTGACAGATTTATCTTAGCACTTTGGAAATATTATCCCACTGTCTTTTGGCTTCCGTTTCTATTGATATCAATCTGTTGCTCCTTTGTAGGAGCTTTTTTTCTTGGTGTATTTCTAATATTTTCTGTAACTCTGGTATTTTGCAATTGCATAATAATATTCTATTTGATATATATTGTGTTTTCTGTATCTGCTGTAGCTTTGTCTCATCAATTACAGAAAATTCACAGCACTATTTCTTTCAATATTGACTCTCCTACATTCTATTTTTTCCTGGAGTTCCAACTGAGAGGTACATCAAATTTTCTAAGTATTTCCCTCACATTTTAAAATCTCTTCAACGTTTTCTATAACCCTGTCTTTATGTATTGTATTCTGGATAAATTCTTCAGCTCCATCTTTCAATTCAACAGCTCTCTCCCCACAGATGGACCAAAGGCTTACTCTCTGACCAGTTCTAATACTAATAAAAGTTTCTAGGTCACCACTAGCTTTCAAGTTTGCTACTTAATCCCTGGTTTCAATTCCCTGTTAGTGTTTCTTTGTTTTTGCTGCTGTTTTGCATTTTTGAGAAAGCAGCAATGCATTTAAAATGTGTT